AGTCTTTGGACTGAAGTTAATTAAACAGGAAAGCAGAAAAAAAAAAGACCTATGGCTCTTAGGATAGGTGATTTTAAAGTCTGTGGCAACCCTACATGCCCTAAAAAGTGTACTCCATGATACATTTAATTCTGATCCCAGTTATATCACTATAAATATTTCAGTGAAGTTACAATGAGTTCAAACTCCTTTTATGAGATCAGAAATTAATCTTTTGCATGTAGGAAAAGTTTTCCTCAATTCTGGTGGGTGGAATGCCATAATCAGCAATTCTTAAATTAAATTAAAAGTTTTTTATGTCCTTCTCTTCTGAAATTCACAAGCATGAACATGAACTAACCCTGATGTCCCAATTTATTTTAGTATAATTTTGAACGGCAAATACTAGATCTAGACTGTGGAGTTGTCCACAGATATATTAGCTTTTTGGAGGAAGAATATGGGAGAACTACTATTAGTGGGGTATGCATTTCCTTTGCATTTCCTTTAGAATTAGTCGAGAAATGCCAAAATATACAAGATCACGCTCTAACCTTGCCACATACATAAGCAGGTATATTATTATTGCCCGAGCCCTAGTTGAAACTCTGGGTATCTCAAGACTATCGACAAAACTATGCTTGAGCAACTAAAAGCGTTTTTCCTTCCAGATTAGTAAATTGGAGATAGACTAGAGAGAGATCCAAAAAGTAACATAGGGGTGTCAGTGCCTAAGTTTCTCAGACAGTGCACTATATCAGTGCAGGACACAAGACATCACCTTGCTGAGTAGGGAGGAGGAGGATTTAACCCACACAGAAGTCCTAAACATGGGGATTCATTTTAAAACCGTTCCAATTAGGATCCACTTAATTGAGATTGAAGGAATATGCCTCACCCTCTTGTGAAAATCCCACTGGTACGAAGCAAAAAAATCTATTATCTATTTTTGAACCCCAAATAAGAATAGAACTAAAAGTTTCCACTTTTTATCCAGTAGCCTCGTTGTTAAAGCATTTATATAGCTTGTGAAAAGTAAAATGCACTCCTCTTCTCCTTTCCAGGATATAGGTTGTCTTAGTGTAGGGGCATTTTAAGGAGTATCCTAGTTCCCGAGCCAGCTGGCTAGAAATTGATTGGTTCCTCCCTGCAGTTTTCCTCCAGGTCTTTATGCTGCAGGGTGGCTCCACGTGACCCACAGTGGGAGATGTTGTCTGGACGGTTCCTTCGGTCCGTAGGAAGTGCTGGAAGGAGTTGTGTCCCCTATTGTCATCTCTAGGACGGCACTCGCTTTTCCTTCCTTCTGCTCGTACTCGACAGATTTTTTGTATGTCAAGAAAATGAGAGGATCTGCACCTAAGTACTGCTTTATACGCAGAGTTTAGGTGCATTCAATATTACTTTGGAAGAACAGCATTACTTTATTACCAGACAACATCCACCAGCTACTTCAGTAAAAAATCTCCTATAAATACTAACAGGGAAGCTGAGTGCCAGTGTGTTTGATTCTCTGAAAGGTGACCGTTGTTTAACCAATTTATTTGGTTTTTTATATCAGAAGAAAGATTTAAGTCTGTGGAGTTGACAGAGCCCAGGCCTTTGATTTTAAAAACAGGTCAAGTACATAAAGCAGAGCCCTTGCCAATGTGATGGTATGAGAGAGTACAGTTTCATGGCTTTTACCCAGGAAAGTTCTCTCCTCAATTATTTATATTTGCAAGTTCACCATTGCAAAGTCTGTCTTCTAAATGAAATAATATTTCTTCTAGAATTTCTGTGGGGGAAAACAAGTGTTCAGTAATGAAGCCCTTACAAATCTTGCTTTTAGATTTTTTGCATGTATGCAAAAACGTGCATTTAGGTAAAGATGAAGCTGTCAGGAAATGTTACAAAATGCAGTAAAGAAACATGTCCTGCAGCTACTAGGCTCAGTCAAAGCTCAGAAGAACACTCTTCTGACATGCTGCAATCTGTGTATGCTTCCAATAAAATGAAGATGTCCTAGTCAGGCAAGGAGACGACATGATTTAATCAACGACTCTTCTATAGCTATTTCCCCAGTTCTGTCATTCCATGTGATCTGATTGATTTATAATATATGATTTACATAAGGACTAGTTATTTCTAAACTTTGAAATCTATGCAAATTTTTCTGCTTTGATTAGCATAGGGCCAATTATAATGTATTTTAAAAGACAAAAAATGCCAAAAGCAAATAATACCCTGCCCTATTTATTCACAGATCTTATTCAGAGCAAAACAGATGAGAATCCTGAGCTGAGGAGCAGCCTCAGCAAATGCAGGTTTTGAATGCTTCTGAATGGAAGTCTTTTTGGCTGGTCTACAGAGAAATATGATTAGGTGAGAGAGATTCTGGATGTAGGATTTTTTTTTTGAAAATAGAATGAGAAATGGGTTTTGAAAATACATTTCGTAGAATTTGCCAGCAGCAAGAAGTAGCAAGCAAACTATATATGATTGAAAAGCAACTTTCTATGATAATCTCCAGATTTCACGTGTTTATAGTTTTCTGAAATACTCACACTCACACTAATATAATATCAAACTAGGGAGCGTCTTTTCTAGCTCTTCCTCTAGCTGTGCTTCTGAAAAAGGGAAATTCTAAGCACAAAGGTAACATGCCCACACATATAAGTATCTCTTTCTGGCGTTAAGTTACTTTGAAATAATTCTGAGCATTGCACTGCTAACCAGAAGTATCTACACTTTGCTTCCATCCCACTTCTGGTACCTATTTCCTTTTCTAAAAATGGGCCTTCTCTAGTTTTGGAAGTATAAATATAAAAAAGTTGGGTAAGTGACTCAAAAAAGTGGTTCTGAGCAGTGAAACTAAGTCCGTTTTTCCCTAGAAAAGGTACATACCTTCTATTTCAATTTTCTGATATTTAATAAGGTGAAAATTCCAACTAGTGCTTTTTTAACTGCTGGGACATTTATAACATCTTTCCTCCACAAGGATTCTTTGGTGTCTGTGAAGAACTGACCTCATGCTTCAATCTTTTCCTCCATAAAAGCAGTAATAAAGCCTGTCTCTTTTTCTTCTCCCAACTGTCAATTTCCAAAAAACTTATAGGACCTTAATGTACTGAGATCTGAACTCCTCGGTCAAATTTGATTGAAATTGGCCAACAGGTTCAAAAGCTATTAGGATAGCATACATAAATATACCCTCACACACAGCATCAGAGTGTTGTGTGAGTTTAGTGCATTTCCCTAGGAATCCAAGTTAAAAATCACCTCTGAGCATATTCAGAAACATCAGCTGTAACGCTTAACAGAGCCATGTTCGTGTAAAAAGGTCAATCGTAAAGAACATATGCGGCATAGTATTCTAAAAATTAGTGACTTAACATCAAAAAGAGGAAAAGAAATCTCAAAGAAAAAGGAAAAAAGCACTATTTCAGTACAATCCTGATAGTAAAAAGCATATCTGAAACTGTTATAGTGTAAAGTCAGATGCGTGCTTTCACCTTCTCTTTTAACACAAATTACCATTAACACAGAAAAAATGTTTTAATTCTTTCAAATTCATATAAAAAGTGTCGCATTTACTTATAAACCAACAGAATGAATAAAAGGAATGCCATCGCTTTGCGCTCTTCTCTCCAGAAGTTCTGAAATCGCCAAGGAACCCGAAGCCTTTCTGTCATTGCTCTATATTGTTACTGTGGTGTGGGAAACAACATGCTCTACTCCACTATGATAAGAGACGATTGCAAGTAGTAGCTAACATGTGCTTAGCACTTTTAATCCAAGATGGAGTTTCTGGCATAGGAAATATGCATTGTAATAGTACATTAGATTTTAAAAGCCTGAGATCAAGCATTTAAATAGGGAAATGAAAGGATGATGGAAATAACATTTACCTAAAGAACTTCTCACGCTTATGAAATGTGACCAATTGATGCAGTCTAAATTTAGATGTTGAAACTAAAGTGGATGCCCTTCAAAAGGTGATTTATCCTACCTTTCAACAGATGGGATAAAGAAACTTCCCAAAAGAGGACTTATTTCTCTCCTTTACGTATGGAAGGCACATTGCTGAATAGACGCCTAGCTTTTTAATGACTGAAAAAGGGTGAGATGAAGGATCCTATCACTAGAAATAATAGATGATCCTTATTAAAAAACCTTTCTGTAAACTCCATGCTCTCTCTCCAGGACACCCATACCCTTCTAGTGCAAACTGTATTATATGCCACTCTAAATTTATGTATACACACTCCTTTTTTCTGTCAGATATGCCCAGTGTTAATGACTTGAACCAAAAGCCTCCTAAACTCAGAGTGTCTTGCCATTGACTCTGATGGCTGTTTTAACTTCACCATGCACAGCCATGTTCTGTCATACTGATATATAAATTGAAATGCATCAGGCTGTTGTCTGTAAAGTGCTTTTTGTCACCTGAGATATTGAAAGCCAAAATCACACAGAAACCCCTGTCTCTTCCCTTTATAAAGTTGTCTTAGAAGACAGAATTGTGTTTTTGACTGAAAACAGAATGATATCACTTTGCCATGGTGCAGTTCTGAATAATTTTATAGAAGTGATCAGGATTATCCTGGATTTACTGTGCTTTAATAAAGAGGAGAATCTGATCCAGTGACAATGTGCCTGGCAGGTCAAATATGACTAAGGAGAGCATGGCTGTCATCAGGATCCTCCATATTAGGCTCAGTCAGTTGCTGTCCGACATGTTTTTTGCGTATGTTCCAATAGACTTTGTGTGGGAGGGCTGGGATGGAAAACGCTGCCATCAGTATGGGAGTGTTGTTTTTTGCCTTCCTGAAAATCACTGTTGGCTGTGCTAAATGAAGATAATTGGTAGGAATCGATTAGTTGCACAGGAGGGTGTTATTAAGGGTTGAGCTCTTTTCACAAATTGCCTCCTTCTGCGTTTGTTGCTTGAGAAGCATAACCTCACGTATCCTGACATTCACAGAGCAGGAGATTGATACACTCCTTTTTCTTTTTCTTTCCTTCCCCCTTAAACTCTGCAGGTCAGTCCCACCCCAGGGTGCATCCGAGCGCTAATGAAGATGTTGTACTGCCCTTACTGCAGAGGACTGCCCACTGTGAAACCTTGCAACAACTATTGCCTCAATGTAATGAAGGGCTGCCTAGCAAATCAGGCTGATTTGGATACTGAGTGGAATCTGTTCATAGGTAAGAAGAGTTTAAATACTAGTGGAAGGAAATGCTGGTAATAACAAATGTCTGCAGAGTTTTGTGAGGTTAGAAGATACTGTTGGTCAATATTTACCAAAAAACAACTGTAGATGATTCTTACTTCTTCTGGCTTACAGTGGGAAATGACTGTTCCACCCCAGAGTCATTCTTACGAAATATGTAATAGTAATGGTGTGATGTAAAGGCTTCTGAGCTGAATTATTGCATGATATGTGAAACGTGGTGAGGAAACTTTAGTCGAGGATACAATAACAAGCTTAACATAGCAGAAATAGTGTGTATTAGAACTGAAAACTAGGGTCTTGCAAGCTGAGAAGATAGCAACATTGTTTAATATCCAGTCAACAAACTGCAGCTGCTGCTTTTCTTAAATTTGGTACTAAGTACTACAGTACTAAGCAAAGGGCTTAAAAAGTTACATACATGGCAAATTATTAATTTTCTGTTCTGGGTTAAAATATTTTAATGCTTCTCTTTCAGTATAGAAAGCATCAGACATGCAATCAACATGTTAGAATGGAGTATAAAAAATGTGTATTTAAGGAAATTGCTATTACAGTTTTGTTCACAAAATTCTTCACTATAGTAATAAAAAACAGAAGGAAATCTCCTTAAACAGCCATTCATATGTCCTGGAGCAAAAGGACTCCCAAAAGAGTAACATTTAGCAAGAGATAAGATCTTCAAGGTGCTTGTGATCATATACAGTACAAGGGTAGGATGCAGAATTAGACAAGACTAATGATAATATAGAAAGAACAGAAGCAGCTAGTTATATCAGTCATTAATGAGCATCATTACCGTACAAAGCCCAAATTGGATTTTTGGAAAATAGAAGCAGCTGGAAAACAAGAGATAAAACTGTCTTTATTATAAGTAAGGAAGGAAATTCTTGTTTCTGCTTTTGGGTAGATGATGTATTGGCAATCTCACTCTGCTTACTTTCCAAATTCCACCCACCAATGTGACTTTTAAAGCTTGACTCTGAATCACTCATGCATTTTCACTTTACTCAGCACAGAGGTAGTGGAAGATGGTAGGGAGAATAAAATAGAATGAAAAATGAATCAGAGTAAGCAAAATGAAAAACAGTATTGAGTGTTTTATAAAAATAGCACAAATAATCAACAGTAATGAACATGCCTTCTCAGTTCCTTGCACTGTTTAAAGAAGCCACTAGGACAAGCAGTGCTGTATGGGGGATACCCATGGGATTACTGGTGTGAAAGGAAAAGAGTAGGTTGGGAGGAGTTGGTCTGTAAGAAAGTTAAGTAGGAGCAGACGGGAATGCAATGCCTACCTGCTGCAAACTTTGCGTAAACTACTTCTCCTTTGATGCTAAAGAGTAACCAGGAGCAGAACTGTAAGCAATTCTGGACAAGAAAATAATGTAGGCTTTTAGAAATGCTTTTTAGTTGAAATAAAAAGCCCAGATTTTATTAAAGTAAGCATTTATTCAAATGAAAAGGTGGAAGTTAAGATTTCAGGTCTTAAGAGAAGATTTCCTTTTCTGATGCTTTGAATTCAGTGAGAATGCTGGGCAGAGAGTAGTTATGTGTTCAGAAGTGTGGAAGTGCTTATAGATGCAGGCTTTTAGCATCTTTGATGTAAAGCCCTTGTCTTCATTGCTCTTGCATGTTTTGATTATTCCTGCTCTCACAAAATAAAAACTGTATGAAAAGTTGCACGTGATGTTAAAAGATGGTACTAATTTAGTATTAAGCACCATGTACTAAATACACTATGGACTTCCTTAAAGGAAAGCAGACTGCTATGCAATTATCCCTTCAGGTCAGTGATGACAAGGCAGTATAAAGTACAAATACATCCAGAGGTATTTTCTTTCTTCTACCTATACACCTTTCCCTGTTCAACTTGATAGGGAAGGAACAGAGATGGAGAGACAGACTTTCCTATGTTTGGAAAAGGTATTCTGTTTTATCCCATTTTGTGAGGCTTCTGACAGCTTTGCGGAAGATGAGGGTCCTTAGTCCTTCCTTTATGTAAGATTGAAATGCAGAGAGTTGTCTCTATCTCTGACAGCTGTCAGAGGCTTTCTAATAACACATGCAATTCCCTTAGTACTAAACACAACGAAACTTCTACTCACTGAATTAAAACGAATGGCAACACTTTGCAGCACCACTGAGCTATGAAAGATTGGAAATTATGCATGAGCAATTTTTATCCCTGTCCAATGTTAGGAACCATGCACGAGGAAAAGAAAATAATTTTGTGCACTAACAGTCTCTGCGTAGGCAGGAATCCCAAATATTAGTGCATATTCATACACAACGAGACAGTCTTGCTTAGCTTATAATCTGTGTATTGCGACATCTTTTTGGCAAAAGTTGGTACTGAGAGAAAATTGTTAGATGTGTTTGTCACTAAGAAAATATTGTAGTTTGCTATGTATGTTCTGGTATTGTTCTGTAGCTACTTTAACTGTTCAGCAGTACCCAAAATCTGCAAGTGAGGAGGTGCAGAGGAAAGTAAATGGGCTCTCTGACAACAGGATACATTACATATTCCACCTAGTTTATAAATACAAGCATCAGGACTGAAATCACATTTATATAGTACTAATAAATCTTATATCCACTTTAAAAGCTAGGGAGAGTGGGACAGCTTCCCCTAAACATCTGGTGCTTTACAAGATTTTATAGACTGTGAAAATTGGTAAGATGTGAAACAGCTGCAGCAGCATGACACGTGGTTTATTGTATTTTTCCTATTTGTGTCACCTTAATGTCTATGTCCTTTCTGTGTAACATTTCATTATAGGCTTTTTGTATTTTGTTGCTTTTGTTATTACACAATAAAAGCCAAATGTATCACATCATAATCTTCAAGCAGAACGCCTATGAAATTCAGAATTTTGCCTGAGAAAGGGTTTAGCGAGGAAAGGAAGGCATAGCCCTTACTAATTATATGTCATAATAAACATAATAAACTTTAAAAAAAAAAAAAAAAGCAATAGTTAAATTCCTCTTCCAGGTATCTATATAATAGGCTTAAGAGGTATTTAGGAGTAAATCAGCCACACCACTTTGAAAATGCCTATTTTGGCAAAGCTTGCTTCTGATGTCTGTCCTTTAGTTATAACTCACCATCTCCTTTGCACTGGTCTCAGGAAAAGTTAGAAAATGAAAGATGAAAAGAATGAGTAGAAAAACTGTACTGCTGAAGAAAAAGATTACCTCATAGGCAAATCTGACTGATTCTGTGGAACAGGGAAAAGAGAATTTTCCCTGTGTCCCATAGCCCAACAGATATAGTCCAAATTATGCTTCTCTCCATGGAGCTACGCCAATTAACAATGATGAAGGTTTACCCAAGGATCCCAGTGTTCATTCTGTCATGGAAACACAGAAGAGACAGAGAGGAAGCTGCTCCCGGTTGCATAGACTCAAAACCTAACTATCAAGGGGAATTATGTTCAATTTCAGCAATACTGTTACTTGTCTTTCTCTAGCTACCCTGTATTTCATGCTCTCTTTCTATCTTGTGTATCTTCCATCTTTCTTGATGCTAGCTTCCCTTAATATTAATCAGTTAATTCCCATTAACTGGTCTTTTTCTCAAGCAGGAAAGACAGCCAAGGAACGTGCCCCCCTCAGAGGGCACCATGCTTTCTCCTGGTGTCCTCATTAAGGTTCAGAACTAACACCTGCAGAAATATGATTTACGTGCAAGAGCGTGCATGTCATTCTGGTCCTTCTACTTATTTATCCACAGGCTCATGAACACACAGTGGCCACAACTTATTTCATATTTGCAAGACTTTTTTCACAATTAGCTGTGGGTTTAGGTTTTTTCTTCTCCTCCCTCTTTAGATAAAAATGTAGAGGATACTAAGTCTGAATATGTCAAGCAAGAAAGTGGGCTAAATATGATAGCACTTGCTTAAAGAATATGAGATGGTAAACCTAGATAGTTGCTGTAATCACAGTAATGATTGTACGTAGGTTTATTTTGTAGACATCTAAAGTAAACGATAAATGCACTATTGCTGTATTTAGTGATTCAAATGTACATACACTAGTACAGTGCCTGTGCAAATCACGATTGCTTTGCTGCAATCTATGAAGGTTTGCAGTTGTGCTAGTGTGTATCCATATCCACCTTCTTGCTCAGTCTGACTTTGCTAGCAGTATATTCATCTGGCAAGCTCTCTAGCGTAATAAGGCAGATCATCATAGGATTTGCTCAAACTTTATTCATGGCCAGCAAAGGTGGCATCCAGGCTCAGAGAGCCCCAGCAGCCTCTTGGTGCCAGTGCCCTGCGACACGTCCATCACAGGAGAAAATCTTACCTATCTGCAATGTTTCAGCAAAACCTTCTCCTACCAGTCTTAAGTCTTATATCACTGCTGTCAGTGCAGCAGTTCTGAACTACTAAAACTTTCTCATTACTGTATTTTAAGAATCTCTTTTGTTTCTTCACATCAGCATGACTCAGACACTTACCTTAGGAAACCTCTTGAAACAGAGCTTATGCAATTTCAGTTACAGCAGCTCAATCACGTTAAGTAAAAGTCCCCATCAAAACCTTAACTACTTATTCCTAATGAAAGCTTTAGAGTGATGAAAATATGCAATCAGTTTTCTTTACAGCTTATAAAAGCCTTCAGGACTATGTAATTTCCATGTGTAAGCACAAGGATAAATATTTTCCTTTTTAAGCTTCAAGAGACCACCCAAATCTGTTTGGGTTTGTGTGTGTGGTGTTTTTATTATTATTATTTATTTATTTATTAATTTATTGCCAGGATAACTGTATTCCTCAGGCTCCATTTTTTTTTTATTCATTTTAAAAAAATCAGCCTGCAATTGTAATAGAATAAAGAAAACTGTAAAGGATTACTATGTGTACTGCTATTGTAAATAAGCAGAGCCATAGCTGTATAAGCAGCTGCATACTGGTTCACAAATGTAGGAAATCTCAGAAGTGTACCAAGATAGGTAAAGGAAAC